TTTTTTTTTTTTATTTAAGAGCATACATTGCAGTCAATTTTGAATTCAATTTAAGCTCGAACATAACTTTTTTTTTCATTAGGCTTTGAAAATTATTTCGAATGTCGAACAAAAGAATTACGCATTTTTGTTGTTTGAATGGGAAGTGATGTTTTGGCCCAGCTTGTGCGAGTAATTAGGATGACGTGATACAATAGCAAACGGGAGTGTGATTTATTATTACATGATGTTGCATGGCTGGATATGTTCTATTTCAACTGAATCTACTCGGTGTAGTTCGAGAGGGAATTTGTACAATTTTAGTTAACGACGTTTCTTCAGCTCTGTATATATTTAGTTTCGTTTATTACTCAGAAATCGGAGTGCTTCAGCGCCTAAGAAAATAATAATAATAAATGCGAAACAATTTCACGGCAAACAGATCACAAGATTTGCTTCATCACTGATAATCCACGTTGGAACTTTCTTGCAACACTTGAACTGAATTTCGTTCTGTATTCCTTACATACAGTGAGTGTCAATTGAAATCACTCGAAAATTGTCGATCTTTAGTCTGTTAGAATTTCACAAAAAAAAAAAAATATATATATATATATATGTATCGTTTCAAGAATCAATCAGGGCAATCATCGTTTTAAAGCGTGAAATCTTTATCTTCACGTTCGTGCGGCGTTCAATTTTTTTCTGAGGTATTTTTGCATTATGCAACGAATGTGAATGCGAAGATACCTTTTTTTTTTTTTTTTTTTTAATCGAATTGCCACAGTAGATAAAAACATTGAAAAATTCGTTTACCTGTTTTTAAGGAGAAAAAATTATACAATGTAATATTTATATATATTTCACGAAAAATCTTCTACTTTAAATCTCCAAAAAGTACAGTCTTGTCTAGAGAATCTTTGCAACAAATTATAAATTGGTCACTTTGGCCAGTAGTTCTACTGTTAATAATAATAAACATACGCGTGTACACTATTTCTGGATGTACGATTTGAAACGACACTCGTTGTGTATCGAGAAAATTGTTGCCGTAAACTTGTCGTCCTCGGTGTGTATGCAAACAGTGTGGTTCTACAAGAAAATTTAGTTGTAGTTTGAAAAGGCCAGGTGCGACGTAACAGGAAATCACTCCCAATCGCAAGCGAATAAGAAGAAGACCCGCCACGGTAGCTCGAAAAAGCAGTAAATCGTATTTCTACGTTTTGCATCGTTGCTTTCTTAGCACGTTTGCTATCCAGCTGTTGAATGACGGAATGATCGCTTTAATTTCTCTTTTTTTGCAACGATGTTTCACTTCGCGAGAGAACTACGTATTGTTCTTCTTTTCTTTTTATATCGTACATACATATTCGAGGGACAAGATTAGAAGAAGCATTCTTAATTGGTCTGTGTAACATTTATGGTATTCTCGTGCAAATGGTTAATAATTTACGTTTACTTTTCGCTGAGAAGAGGGAAGAAAATCCACTTTGTTAATCGCCAAGTGAGCCAAATTATCTAAATTTGGAATGCGTAACAAAGAATTCAATTAACGATATCGTCTTGCAAATCACGCTCAGTAATTTTAACTTTCCATTGAGAGAAAAGACACTGCTTCGTCGATCCCAGGCAAACGGAAATTATCCAAAAGTTGCGCGTGAAAAATTCCCCACGAATGAAAAAGTCACGATAAGTGTAAACTTACGATCTCGATAATTTTCCCAAATTAATAACAATTAGTGAAGATCACAGATCAGTT